GGGGAGTCCAGAACAAACTGAGGTTTGCGCCGCACAAGACCAGCGCCATGGTCATCACGCGCAAACTGAAGTATGACACCCCACGCCTCCACATGGGCGGGGTCGACATTGGCATGGTCGGAGAACTCAGGTTACTGGGAGTCGTCCTAGACCAGCGCCTGACCTTCAACACGCACGTCGCGAATGTGTGTAAGAAGGCCGTAGCCTTCTACGCCCAGCTTTTGAGAGCCGCGAAGGCGAGCTGGGGCCTCCACCCCGAAGTTATCCGCGCTATCTACAGAGCGGTAGTTGAGCCCGTGATACTGTATGCGGCTGCCGTTTGGGCGCCGGCTGTTGATAAGCTCGGTGTTCGAAAGCAGCTGAACGTGGTCCAGCGGGGCTTTGCGCAGAAGCTGTGTAGGGCATACCGCACCACCTCCCTGAACTCAGCACTGTTGCTCGCTGGGATACTCCCCCTTGACCTGCGCATCCGCGAAGCCGCGGCGCTGTATGGTGCGAGGAGGGGTATACCCCAGGACGCGATAGGAGATCGGGAGGTGGAACGGATGTCCTCGGCTCTGCGGTCTCCGCATCCCGCTCAGTATATCGACCTGGAGTTCAAGTGCCTGGCGGGCGAGGAACAACTCGCGGTAAATATTGACCACGAACTTAATATCTACACGGACGGCAGTAAGATTGAGGGCAAGGTGGGTGCGGCGTTATCCATATGGAGGGGCGCCGTCGAAACCAAAACCCTCAAGCTTTCTTTGCCGTCCTTTTGCACCGTCTACCAGGCGGAACTCCTGGCGATATGCAGGGCGGCGCGGACGGCCGCAGATAACTCGGCCAGATCAATCGGAATTTATTCTGACTCTCTGTCGGCACTGCAGACAACGATAAATCCAGTTGCCCTCCACCCCCTGGCCGTCGAGGCGCGGGGCCACCTGCACAGGGCTTCGATACAGGACAAACTTGTCAATTTGTTCTGGATCAAAGCCCACGCGGGACTAGAGGGGAATGAGCGTGCCGACCATCTGGCCAAGGAAGCTGCGCTAAAGTCCAAACGCAGCTTTGACTATGACAGCTGCCCGGTTTCATTCATCAGGCGAAGCATTCGTATGCGATCGCTTGATGAATGGAACCAACGATACCGGGCTGGTGAAACAGCCGGTGTCACCCGGGTCTTTTTCCCGGACGCGATAGCCGCATACCGTGTCATCGGTAAAATAAAGGTGGACAGATTTGTCACTCAGGTATTGTCGGGGCACGGTGGATTCTACGAGTACTTGCATCGTTTCAAGTGTAAGGAGAGTCCATCGTGCGTCTGCGATCCTGCGTGTTCGGAGTCTGTTCTCCACGTCCTCCTGGACTGCCCGGCCCATGACCGTGAGAGGCAGGAACTGGAGTTCTTATTGGACTGCAAACTGGAAGTAAGTACGCTTCCGGATATTGTACTGGGTAAAAATAGAGACTTGTTCCTCAAATTTTGTATAAAACTGTGCATAGCTGTAAATAAAAGAAATAGAGTGTAAGTTATGCTAAGTAATTATATTGATATATAAATATATTAGCATAAATTAATTGTAATTAGGAACATAGTTTTAAGTTAGCATTAATGATGATGTAATTAAAGTTTTATTGTTCCCCCCTTCACTGTCCCCGCCCCCCTTTGTGTTTCAATTAGAATGTAAGTACACTATGGCCTTCAGCCCATGATTGAAAGATGATGTAAGCGAGATGAAAATGGGATGCTGAATGGCTGACGAGCAGAGTATAAGATATGATGTATGAATGAGTTTTGAAGATAAATAAACAAATAAGGTAAAAAAAGACAAATTGTAAAAACAGTCTCCCAAAGTTTCAGGGAGGTTTAAAAAAAAAAAAAAAACCTAACCTAACCTAACCTAACCTAACCTAACCTTACCTAACCTAACCTAACCTAACCTAACCTAACCTAACCTAACCTAACCTAACCTAACCCTAACCTAACCTAACCTAACCTAACCACAAAAGAAACGGCAAAAGAAGAACTAATTGAAATTATTTCCTACCAAAATTCGATCCCTGAGGACGCATTACGTCTTTGTTTCCTTACTTCAAATAAGAATAACGCTTTATACAATGCAGTTTTGGAAGTGACACCTAAATACTACACAACTATTACCACATACGGACGAGTAGCCATTAATCATCAACGAGTGTTTGTCGGGCCTTTCTCTAGATTTGTTCAATGCCATCTGTGTTTACAATTTGGACATACAAAAACGAAATGTGCCATAACAATTCACCCATGCGCGTTTTGTGCCTCAGAAGACCACAATATTATGGACTGCCCAAACAGAACCTCTGACGAAAAACGAAAGTGCTACAACTGCCACAAACATAATTTGAAGACCAACGCCAATGCCGACATTAGACATAATGCAACAAATGTAAAACTGTGCCCTAGAATCATCTCTATTAAAAAGAAATTAGAGGAATCTACTGATTATGGACTTACAAACTAATCACCAAATGAATAAGTATCAGAGAAAGAGTAACATATCTGAACAGAGCAATAAAATACATCTCAATAATAATTGCAATAAAACGTCTAATAATGGCATTAGATTCATCCAATGCAATTTGGGCCGAGGATATAATGCCCAACAAGAATTATTGGCATATTGTCGCTCAAATAGTGTACAAGTAGTCTTTATAAATGAACCATATATCGGAAATAATACAATTATGAACAAAACACCCGGCTACACAACATACCAATTTCCTCATAACCGTCATGTAAAGGCTAGCATTCTGATTAAAGAAGGTCTTGGCAGCTGCCTCGGGATTTCAAAATATTCAACGCCAAATTTATGTATAGTACAGCTCATCACTTCTGGGAAAAGAATATTTCTAACTAGCATTTACGTAGAGCCCAAAGACGATGAAAATGAAACATTGAACCACTAGGAACAATTTATAATTGAAACAGGAGACGCCATTCATATTATCGCGGGAGACCTAAATGGCTGGCACCAACTTTGGGGATCTCCCACAGCGAATAAAAGAGGTAAAAAAATAGTTGATATTATTATTCCTCACAATCTTACCATCAATAATACTGGCACAGATCATACATATGAAACTACAGCGGATGGAATTCTACGTGGTTCCATCGTTGATCTCACCATAACTTCATCCTCAATCTCGAATCATATTATTAATTGGCAAATAGATAATTCTATATGTCCCTCCTCTGATCACCATGGTATCAAATTTGAATATTTCCTTAATAAAAATCATATCCGTCAGAATAAGAAAAAATCGACTTACCAATATAATACTAATAATTTTAAGCAATGGGAAAAACTAAGCGAAGCCTTTTTCAGAGAAATTGAACTGACCCAACTTAACAAAATTGACATCCTATCCTTAGATCCAAATAACTTACTACACTTTATTGATGAAATAATCGCGTTTATTCACAAAATTTGTAAAAAGTATCTTCCCCCACTCTTCTATTCGTCCTGAGCGCCCTTCTTGGTGGACCGAAGACTTAGAAAAATTAAAAAGAAAAGTTCTTGACAACCATCACCTGCTTCAAAAACTTAGTCGAAAACGTCTTCCAATGAACGAAGCAATTGCAAACAAGACCCAACTCCGAAAGGAATACGCCGAAGCAATCAGAAAGGCCTCAACTGAAAACTTCCGTGAATTCTGCAACAGACAAGGTAAGGAAGATGTGTGGTCAGTTACAAATAGATTGCTGAAGAATTCAATCCCAACCCTACCACCTTCCACACTCAAAATAGCACCAAACAAATATACTACTTCTTCTGAAGAAACAGCCCATATATTTCTTCAAAAATTTTATCCAGAGGACACCATTGACACATATAGTTCCCAAACCGTCACCCGACAAACCATAAAATTTCCACCGAATACAAATGATGATCCTCCATTTACTATTGATGAAGTCCTCCATAACCTCAAGGATATGAACCCTCGAAAATCACCTGGACCAGATCACCTTACCTCCGACATATGCTTCTGTTTCACTCAAACATTTCCAGAACTAATAACGAATATCATGAATAGATGCCTAGCTTTATCAATATTCCCTAGACAGTGGAAACATGCGCAAGTAATTATTATTCCTAAGCCCAACAAACTTGACTATACTGAAATCTCAGCTTATCGCCCCATCGGACTGCTTAATGTTTTTGGTAAACTCCTTGAAAAGTTGGTCATCAAACGACTAAATCATTTTATTTACACTAACAACAAATTCAATAGTAAACAATATGGGTTCAAGGAACAAAGGTCAACGACAGAAGCACTTAATAATATGATTACATTTGTTAGAAATTGTAAAATCAAGGGAGATCAAGTTGCCGCTGTCTCTTTGGATATTCAGGCGGCATTTGACAATGCCTGGTGGCCCGCTATTTTGCGTAGACTCCACATAATTAATTGCCCCAAGAATATATACAAACTAATAACAAACTACCTCAGCGAGCGAACAGTTAGCATAAATTTCTCAAGCAGCAGTGCCAACAAAGCCATGAGTAGAGGATGCATCCAAGGTTCAGTTTGCGGACCGACATTTTGGAACCTGATCTTGGATGAATTACTTGAAAAGGACTTGCCCGAAGGATGTCATATTCAAGCCTTTGCTGATGACGTTACGCTCATTGCTCACGACAAAGACCCCTTAAAGTTACAGGAAATAATTAATAAGGCACTCCATATAATCACCATTTGGGGAGAGTCAGTCAAATTAAAATTTGGGCCTCAGAAAACCCAAGCAATTGCCTTCACAGGTAAAGCTGAGAAAATAAAAATATCAGTATCTGGCACTCCCATCAAATTGGAAAATTATATAAAAATTCTAGGCATCATTATAGATAAAAAACTAAAATTCATTCAACATGTTCATCATATATTGGTCAAAACAAGAAGTATATATAACAAATTATTAAAATATATCCGACCTACTTGGGGAATACAATCCGAAAATATTGAGATTATATATAAAAATGTTATTGAACCAATTATCTGTTACGCGCCCCAGCATATGGCACTCGGCATTAAAATATAAACATGTAAGAGACAAGCTGCTATCCCTGCAACGTGGTTTTGCTATAAAAATAATTAAAGGTTTTAGAACCGTAAATACCATCAATGCAATAGCACTGGCAAGGCTGACTCCTATACATATTAAAATTAATGAACTGGCAATCATCGAAACAACGAAACTAACAGGCACAAGCAAATATCTTCCAACAGACATTAGTTTAGACACACCATCGAAACCAGAAGAACGATTACATCCATCTCGTCGCAAAATTATCCATTACCAAGAAGCCAATAACGCTCAAGAAGTCAATCAGATTCTCCTCGAAAACACTCATCACATCTACACAGATGGTAGTAGACACGACGAAAAGGTTGGGGGAGCTTTTGTTGTATATTGCCCCAATGGTAAAATTATAACTAGAAAACTAAAAGCTGTGTTTCAAGCTGAGTTGAAAGCCATAGAACAAGCTTGTGTGTGGCTTGCAGATAAACACATTCCGAATGCAGCTATTCTGACTGACAGCAAATCTGGACTACAAGAAATCGGTAACCCCAATAGTACAAATCAAATAGTTACCAACATCCACAGAATGCTAGACAACCACAGCTTATCAGTTAATTTCATTTGGGTCAAAGCCCACACAGGTATAGCTGGTAACGAAGCTGCTGACCTGGCAGCCAAAGCTGCAGCCACAAGCCATAACGTCCCTATTCTCATAAAATTTCCAATTAGCTTCGTAAGAAAACTTGCTCAACAAGATAGTAAAGTAGCTTCCGAACAATTTTACCAAGATAACATGAAAGGTGAAATAACCAGAAAATGGCTCCCTACACTTACACACATACAAGAATTATACCAAGTCACCAAGCACTCATTCACACTAACACAAATTCTTACAGGTCACGGCTACCACAAAGAGTACCTTCATAGATTTAAAATAGTGGAAAATAACACATGCCCTTGCGACGACACTGCAGTACAGTCAATTTTCCATTTACTTAATGATTGTCCAAAATTCCAAGCTACACGTCTAACCCATACGATAACTTGCGCCAATTTTAAAGTACAACCCTTCTCCATTGAAGAAATTATTAAAAAGGAAAGCACATTTGAAACGTTTCTACACCATATTAATAGTATAATAAAAAGTCTCAAGAAATTTAACGGAACAGAATAATTTTGAACTCAAAACATGTAAAATAAATATTTATAAAACATCTCCAAGAATTCCCACAGCGCACAAATGTTCCGTATCAAATAGCAGAACGGCAAATGAAAAACATTGCCAACTCCCACAAAAGTGTTGATATTTGTGGGGTAAAAAAAAAAAAAACCTAACCTAACCTAACCTAACCTAACCTAACCTAACCTAACCTAACCTAACCAGTCCGAAGAATCAAGTGGCACATCGTACCAAAGCTAAGCCGGAAACAATATGGTTTCATGCCACAGCGTAGCACCGAGGACTCCCCTCTATGATATGATGCAGTTCATACAACCAAGCTAAAAGACAAAAAGCTCATTTTGCTGATATCACTAGACATAGAGGGAGCCTTCGATAATGCCTGGTGGCCGGCGATACGATGTGGACTTGCGAAGACTGGATGCCCAGTAAACCTAAGACGCCTGATAGATAGCTATCTCAGAGACAGAACAGTGTGCCTGAGATATGCGGGGGCAGAATGGGTAAAAAAATACCACAAAGGGGTGTGTGCAGGGCTCAATAGGGGGTCCAATTTTTTGGAACATATTGTTGGACCCACTATTGAGGGAATTGAGTGTGAAAGAGACTCATTGTCAGGCTTTTGCAGATGATGTAGTCCTGATTTTCTCTGGGGACACGGCAAAACAGGTTCAGGAGCAGGCAAATGTGACTCTTGCACATGTCCACAAGTGGGGAGCGAGAAATAAACTTAAGTTTGCACCAGATAAAACCAAAGCGATGATAATAACAAATAAACTTAAGTACGACGCACCACTTCTGGAGATGGGTGGGAAGAGCATCGGCCTCTCAAGAGAAATAAAAATACTCGGCCTCACAGTCGATGACAGGCTTGCCTTCGACAAACATGTAAAAAATGTATGTTGTAGGGTACAGGACCTGTACCATCAGCTGTCGAGAGCCGCAAAGATTCATTGGGGCCTAAACCCAGAGATTATCAGAACTATATACACTGCGGTGGTGGAACCGATCGTTTTGTATGCGGCCAGTGCTTGGGTGACAGCAGTTAACAAACAAAAAGTTAAAAAACAACTCGATATGGTGCAGCGTGGGTTTGCACAAAAAATTATAAAATCGTACAGGACAGTATCATTACACTCAGCCCTACTACTCGCCGGGCTGCTTCCTTTGGATCTAAGGATCCGGGAAGCAGCCTCGCTTTATGTAATAAAGAAAGGTTTATCCCGTCGAATAGTGGGTGACAGAGAGGTAGAAATGAAAGTAGAATATTCAAAGACCCCACATCCCGCGGAACAGATCGAATTGAAGTTCATATGCCTGGAAGACGGTGCACAGATTGACGAATATGACAACAAGGGCCTTAAAATATACACAGATGGCAGCAAAATTGAGGGAAAAGTCGGCGCGGCGCTATCCATCTGGAATGGCGACACGGAGACGAGTACCCAAAAATTTAAACTGGAAAATTTTTGCACCGTCTACCAGGCAGAACTGCTGGCTATCCTTGAAGCAACTAAATATGTAATTAAAACACCGGCGCAGAGCTGCAACCTATACAGCGATTCAAGATCTGCTCTAGAAACTATCGCTCAAGACGTTTCCCTCCATCCCCTAGCAATGCAAGTAAGAAATAACATCATAAATATTAGTCAACAAAATAAAACACTTAACATATTTTGGATCAAAGCTCACGCAGGACTGGAGGGGAACGAAAGAGCAGATAGGCTAGCAAAAGAAGCCGCTACAAGGATAAAAAGAAAGCCAGATTACGAAAAGTGTCCGGTCTCATACGTCAAGCGACAAATCCGATTGGAGTCGCTCGACGAATGGAATCGGCGCTACGTGGAAGGGGAAACGGCCTCCACGACCAAAATGTTCTTTCCCAATGCCATTGATGCCTATAATATAATAAGGAAATTGGACATGGATCCGATAATTATTTAAGTTATGACAGGCCATGGGGGGTTCTCCGAATATCTGCACAGATTTAAGTGCAAGGAGAGCCCCGCATGTGACTGTGACCCGATAAAAAAGGAGGATGTAATGCATGTTATAACCGAATGCCCTATTTACGGCAAAGAAAGATATGATATAGAAGTAGAGATAGATATAAAAATAAGCAAAGAAAATGTAAAAGAAATAATTAGAAATAAGCACACTAGAGATAAGTTCCTAAAATACTGTAAAAAGATAACAAGAAAAGTAGTAAATAAGAATAAATGAAATAAGAAAAAGGGTATTGTAACGTATATTTTAATATATAATGTAAACAGACCCTAAAAAACTAGTATTAAGATCTTAAAAGGAAATGTAAAATAAAAGTAAATGTAAATAGAAAACAATGTACACAGAATATAAAGCATACTATATAAAAGAAAAAAAAAAAAAAAAAAAAAAACAAGTACAAAATGTGAAAAAAATGCCACATGATGAAAAAAGTCCCTGATTTCCTCATGTCAGGGGAACTAGATTAAAAAAAAAAAAAAAACTCACCTCACCTAACCTAACCTAACCTAACCTAACCTAACCTAACCTAACCTAACCTAACCTAACCTAACCTAACCTAACCTAACCTAACCTAACCTAACCTAACCTAACCTAACCAAACCTAACCTAACCTAACCTAACCTAACCTAACCTAACCTAACCTAACCTAACCTAACCTAACCTAACCTAACCTAACCTAACCTAACCTAACCTAACCTAACCTAACCTAACCTAACCTAACCTAACCTAACCTAACCTAACCTAACCTAACCTAACCTAACCTAACCTAACCTAACCTAACCTAACCTAACCTAACCTAACCTAACCTAACCTAACCTAACCTAACCTAACCTAACCTAACCTAACCTAACCTAACCTAACCTAACCTAACCTAACCTAACCTAACCTAACCTAACCTAGCCTAACCTAAGTTTTAAACAACAATACACCATAAAAGTTGAGGAGGCGCAAACCGAAAGCTGGAAGGAATTCTGCACGACACAGGAAAGGGGAGAGCATGTGGGATAAAATTTACAGAGTTATCCGGAAATCCTCAAGAAGATATGAGGACATGCTCCTAAGAAACATCCAAGGGGAAACTCTGACACCAAAAGAGTCGGCAGAACTCTTGGCCCAAACATTTTACCCTGACGACTGTGTGGAAACAGATCAGCCATACCACACCAAAATACGAGAGCTGACGGAAATTAACAAAGACCTAGGTTTGTCAGAAGATGACCCACCTTTTGCAGAAGCGGAGCTTGAATCAGTGTTACAAACACTAAACCCCAAAAAGGCCCCTGGACCAGACGGGCTAACAGCTGACATCTGCTCCGCTGCAATAAACTGCAACAGGAAGGTATTCTTAGCGATAGCCAACAAGTGCTTGAAATTGGCGTACTTTCCCAAGCAGTGGAAAACTGCACATGTGGTCATCATCCGTAAGCCAGGAAAGGATGACTATACACATCCAAAGTCATACCGACCAATAGGTCTCCTGTCAGTACTCGAAAAAATAGTCGAGAAGTTGATGGTGGGCCGACTCCAGTGGTACATCCTCCCAACCCTTAATAAAAACCAGTATGGGTTCATGCCTCAACGTGGTACAGAGGACGCCCTCTATGATCTATTGAAATACATCAAAAACGAAGCGAGGAATAAGAAGATCGTCCTTGTTGTTTCATTAGATATAGAGGGAGCCTTTGACACCGCATGGTGGCCAGCATTAAAACTGCAACTAGCCAAAAAGAAATGTCCCAAAAACCTCTACGATATGGTTGGCTCTTACCTTCAAGATCGAAAAATCGTAATTAACTATGCCAGAGCAACGAGTGAGAGGGGAACTACGAAGGGGTGTGTTCAAGGATCTATCGGTGGACCAACCTTTTGGAATGTTATCCTAGACTCACTGCTGCACCAACTTACGAACGAAGGGGTGTATTGTCAGGCATTTGCAGATGACGTCGTCTTGGTGTTCTCGAGTCACTCAACGAGTGCCCTGGAGCAACAGGCCAATGACACTCTAAAAAGAGTAAAGAAGTGGGGAACCCAGAACAAGCTAAAGTTTGCAGCGCATAAAACAAATGCAATGCTTGTCACTAAAAAACTTAAATTTGACCTCCCCAACCTGCAAATGTCCGGCAGCAGAGTAAACCTCGTAGAGGAAATTAAAGTACTCGGTCTCATCATTGACCGTGGACTCACCTTTAAACCGCATGTAGCAGCCGTATGCAAAAAAGCGGCTGACATATACAAACAGCTTGCATGCGCGGCCAAGGTGACCTGGGGTCTCAATGGTGAGATTGTAAGGACAATATACGTTGCAGTCGTCGAACCTATAGTGATGTACGCTTCGAGCGCGTGGTCCTCAGCAACAGAACTTCAGATGATCAAAGACCAACTAAACACGTTGCAAAGGGGCTTCGCGCAGAAGATCTGTAAAGCGTACCGCACGGTATCGCTCACTTCCGCGCTTGCCATCTCGGGTCTGCTTCCGTTAGACCTGAGAATAAAAGAAGCGTCCAGCTTGTACCAAACCAGGAAACAAGGCACACTGGACTATTTACCACCAGGAAGAGAGCTTGAAAACCGTGTAAATCACTTGGATCAACCTCATCCCTCTAAACTCGTCAA